GAGCTATTATTTAATAAAAGGACTAAGTTGGGGCTAAATTGGTAAATAGCATGGACCAAATTGAGGATCCGTATAATAATTTAGGGACTAACTCAGGGGTCCATACAATAGTTTAAGGACCAACTCAGGTCCGTACAATAGTTCAAGGACCAAATTAGGGATTTCTTTAGTTTAGGGACCAAATCGAGGTTCTGTACAATAGTTCAGGGACCAAAATAGGGGTTTAACCTAAATTAAAATAAAATAATATTTATTAAAAATACTTAAATAATTTTATGAATATTTGTATACCTTTTTCTTATAGATCCATGTGACACCTTACTTAAAATGTAAGTTATTTATTTTAAGATATAACATCTTATTTAAAAATGTAAGTTATTTATCTCAAAATATGACACTTTACTTAAAATTATAAGTTATTTATTTCAAAATATTATCTTTACAAAGGGAAATGCCAAAAGTGAGCGATTACTTCTGGTGATGTAATTTGTATATCTAAAAGTTAATGGTTTGCTTGTCAATATTACCATTACAATTTATTTTATTTTATTTTTATTATTATTTTAAAAATATATAAAATATTAATTAAAATTAATTAAAAATAAAAAATTTATATTTTTAAACAAAGTACCATATATATAAAACAATCTATAAAAAATATTGTTAAACAAATCCTAAATTTACAATATCATTAATGAATAACTAAACATCATTTCATGAAAATAAATAAATAAATAAATAAAATCATCATTTGTTTATTTAAGCGTTACTGCATTCATACCATGCTAATGTCGTCAACATAGCAGCTTCCTTTTTTGGTAAGGCATCATTGTAAGGGTTGAATAGGTAGAGACAGGTTCTTGTGAATCATTTAAGGGTTTCTTCTTTTTGAACAAATGAAAGAGCAGTTTACAGCCCACAAGCAACCCCAGAAACGTAATGGGAAATGAATTAAATGGATCTTAGCAAATATCTTATGGCACGTGAAGCTAGATGAACCAAACAAACAAAGGCGCCCTTGCTTGCTTTTACTTTCAAACGGTCACGCCAACACTAACGTTAAATCTGTTGATATCATGGGAAAGGCAGCCGCGGAGTCACGATAAGACGAAGGGCAACAGTTGCCGCATTAGAGCATGTATAATGAAGGACAACAGAAAAGTTTATTTTTGAAGTTTTAACATCACAATTAAAATTATTTTAAAAGAGCTTATATTTTTATACATTTATTTTTTGGTTTAATACCCAATTTGGTCCTTAAACTTTCATTTTAAAACTTAGTTCGTCCTTTAACAAATGAAAGCACCCAAGTTGTCCTTTAACTTCATTTTTCTGGAACCCAAATGGTCCTTCCGTTGAAAGATTGCTAACTTGGCACGTTAAGTGTCCAACAATTACAACTTTTAATTTTTAGATGCCTATGTGGAAAAAACACCTCAGC